AACAAAAAAAAACCTCACCAATCATTTTGTTTGCCAATAATCTGTAGCTGATGCTACAGGTCAACTTGAAGGACAATAAATTCCTACTTAGTATTAACATCAAGATTGCATGAAGGCAATTGTATTCTGAGATGACAGAAGCAGTATAGCTCAGGCAACTTTGAATTAATTCTTTATATACCTTAAGTTAGCCACTACCAAAGATACCATTAAAAAAAGGAATATGGGAAGAATATCCTCTCTTTCAACGTCAATCAATCCTCATTTCGACTAGAAAAACAATGCCATGGCTGTGTGTGTATGCATATCTCTTTGCATACATGGAATTGCAGGTGACTGACACTAAGGCTGTTTTGAGGCTGTTCCAGACTAACATCCAGCGCTTCATAAAGTGCACGAGGTTCTGTTCTATTATGGACAAGTAAGAGAACGACTAATGCTGGGTATTATACACAGTCCATCACCAAAGTGATCTCAGCATAACATAGCTAAGTAGGTCTGCATTAACTACACTTCCTGAAATCCTCCAAACTTTTCAGGTTCAGAGGAAAAGAAACAAGCAAACCCCAAACCTGTGCTCGAACTTGCAGCCAATTGTAATTCTAGAATTCTTTAAGTGCCTGTGATTAGTTTGCCTAGGAAAGGTCTACTTTTCTTCTGAAGTTACCCGTGTTTCCTGTACAACACCTGAAATAGCTGTTCAAACTGTTTTTCAGTTGAACTCAGAATTGAGACTTTAGCTTCACTCTGATTTATTTCATTTGCTCCAAAAATCTTTGATCACTTTTCCTTCGGAGCATATAAATATCTTTTGCATCAGCTGCATTTAAGAATTTTGTGTGTTGGAATAAAAGCCCCTTTGCATCACTGCGGTCCCCTGCTGGGGTCACTGGATTTCAGGAGGTTCACCTACCATCAGTTCTGATAATTGCTTTCTGCTGGTTTTCTTCTGCACGGATGTCACCGCTCTGGCCCAGTTCACCTATTTAGCCCTCTGCAAGGTTTCAGGAATTCAATGCATCCTGCACAGGTTTTCCACATTCCAAACAGTTTAATCAGTAGACACTCAGGATGGATATTTATGTAGCCATCTTTTCCCTCTGCATGTTAGACTTTTCCAGCACACTAAAAGCACTTTTTAAATAGTCAAAGTAATTAAATCTGGCCAGCTTTCCAGTGAAATAATTTTTCCATTAGAAGATTTCATTGGACTATCCAGCAACACCCAAACTTTTGATGGAAACATAATACTACCAAAAGTTTAAACCTCAAAAAAGTCTTAGGATAGAGTAGGAGAGAGACAATTCAGCCTTTATTATTAGGGCTGTTGCCTGAGATCTGAGGAACCCCACCTCTCTATCAGAGTTGCTCTTTTTTCACATATTCACTGACGGGGGTCTCGAGCTACACCACAGGTAAGAACTCAGACTGTTGCTCTGCAGACTCAGTCTCTCTCTAAGCCAAAGAGTAGAACGGCTTTCATAGGAGAAACGGAGAGAACCGTTCATTACTGACAGCTTACAAAGGATATGGGAGAGCCAGGTGAAGTTCCTACATTCAAGTTCTTGATTCAGATCAGCGTCTCAAAACTAACATTAGAAGCAAGTTCAGCGATCCCAAGTTATTTAAAAGAACTTTGTTATGCTTTTTGCCTTAACCCCCCTCAACACTTCTGTTTTTCTCTTAATCTCATACATCGGTATGATGGGGTACACTTTTGAGATATCAGAAGAAGGCAAGATAGGCAAAAACGCCTCCAGCTCTGTTAGAACAGGACAGAAACAGAAGTGGCAGAACAGGAGTTCCACCCAGGAAAGGCACAGTTCACCTGTTTATGCAACCTCCGATACAGATGCAGATGTTCTGTTAGTAAGAAATACAAAAGCCAACAAAATAAGAAACATGGCATTTTGCTCATCTACCTGCTTTTCTTTTGTTTTTCTAGCTTAGAATATGTATATTTTTTGCTATCTTCCCTTAGGATGAAAAAAAATACAATTCTCATTCTTTCACTGAATCTGCAATTTGTAAAGTGCATTATTGAGACAAGGTAAAAAAAAAAAACCCCAACTCCCTCACAGCATTAAAGACAGAATTTCAAGTGCATGACTATTTCAGAGCTCTTGATTAGCCTATAGACTGAAAGGAAACTTTTAAATTAGCTTGCCAAGCAAGTGGAAACATGCAAAGCGTACTGCATTTTTTAATAAAATCCCAAAACATATATCCACTATTTCACCCTCTCACCAGAAATAATTAT